TCATTTTGACCAAATTTACAGTCAAAATTTAAGTTATGGAAAAAATCATTACATGCATGGTTGAAAATTAATTATGCATTAAATAATATGGAAAATCTATTATGGGTTTGACTAGTAAGTTAATAGTAGATTTGAGAGGAAAATTTTATAATTTAAATGAAGGAAGAAAAATCACTGTTAGAAGAAAAGAAAGTTTACCGCAATTATGTAGAGGAACAAATTCTTCTACTATATTTCCAACTTTGTAAAAAAATCAGCATAAAGATATTTTTCTTTGATTGGAGTGGACGTGGAAAAAAATATTTCTTTTCTGTTTATTTTTCTCTAATAAGACTATCCAGTCGGACCCTATATATAATATGTATATAAAGACACTCACATACACAAGAGAAGACAATCAATTCTCTAAATATCAAAAAGACAAAAGGTAAATCTTTTATGAATATGTTAATTCTGTATAAAATGTTGAAAATTTTCTATTGAAAAGACAACATATACATATGTTGACTTCTTAATTCTAACATTGATTTTGAACTATATTTTCTGTTGTTTTTTTGTTAAATTGTGAGATTACAGGCTATTCTGAAAATAGTTGTTGTATCTTCTACAAAAATAAGTAATGGCAATCAAGAAGTTTTCATCTCTTATGGTGTTTGCTCTTCTCATTTTGCCCATGATTTCAGGTAATACATCTATTTGTATTTGTAATTTACATGGTAAACATATTAAATTGATTATTGTTTTATTTAGAATCTTATTAATGTGTTTCTTTATGAACCAAATAGGAGATGGAGTTGGTATGGACTGTAAGGAGGGGGTATGTCGAGGCAAACCAGAATGCAATGCATCATGCAAATCCGCAGGTTACAAAAATGGAGGAGCCTGTGTAGGGTATCCGGATCCTAGGGGTATTTACATTCCAGTACAGTATAAATGTTGCTGCTACCAAAACCCTCCTCTAATGTCTAGCCCTCCTAATTACTAATTAATTCCTGATTTTATACGTACTCTTAGTTATACAAATTAAAAAAAAATCATATATTTTAATATGACATGACTATATTATCTCATCCAAAGTCTATGGTGATCATATTGTTTATTCACAATCTAATGAACAC